CTCCCACAAACAATGTCGCTGCAGAACTGCAGCTCTCCGAAAAAAAATATTTTATCAGACTACAATGGCTGGGACCTTGAGGAAAAAAATATATTGCCTTTATTAAATTCCTTGCAAACAAAATGTGCACTCGTTACTGGATAAATTTCTTCAAATTCTTAAATTCTCGGGTACACAAAAGCTCAATTATAAACATCCTTGGACATCCATCGCCCAAGTAAAAAATAAAGAGAATCATTTTAAATTTTTTTTCAAAAAAATAACACTTACACTGAACTGCCTCAGTTATTGTAATATTGGAGTAGAAATATGGCTAGATGTTAAGTCAAACACTAGCTTACAAAATTTAAATCTAAGTAACTTAATATTTATAAAACCTCTCAGACGTTTGGCTTCATGTCGCAGAAAGTTGTTTTCTGATGCTGATTTAACCTCGGCTAACTTTGCTCCGTACGCCTTGCAGAAAGTCTAAAAAAAATCACATGTACATATATGATATTAAGAAACTTAAATCCCCTTTATTCAGGCACTTGGTATGCACATTTGCTCCGTAAAATTTGCAATTTTTACCTCATTCTGTGGCGTGCCTCATCAATACTTGAAAATAATGGTAAGGTTTTGTTTTTCCAATATTCTATAAATGTTTGCAACTGGAAATCTGACATAGACCTAGGAGTCGTTTAATGGGGTATTGTTAAATAAAAACGACACAAAGTAGTTATTTTTAACCCTCAAAACGTTTCAGAGAGATTAGGGATGCACAGTTAAGGTACGTCACTTGTGAAATAAGTTATATCAACGTTTTTTTATTCTTTTTTTTTTAGATCAGTACTCATATAGTCTGACTCAAAATCGGATAAAATGGGGGAATGCTGAGAGTGCAATTTTAACTACCGAAGTGTACAATTATCATTTTTGCACTTAAATCATAATTCTTTGGTTTATTAATTTATAAAGCCCTCTGTAACCATGGCAATGAATATTATCTTATTTTACTTAAATTAGTTTGAGTAATATTTATCATGAATCAAGCAAATACAAATTGCGCATCTTACACTTTCATGATTGATCAGTTCATCGAAATTGCGTGGGGATTTCTGGTACAATTTAAAAAAAAAATCCAATATCATTATCTTTAGTCTTTTCTAACAATTCGAAATTATAAAACTGTGAAGAACAATTTCGTTGGTCAAATATTTTATAAATACACGCAAAATTTCCTTATTGAGTTTTCAATGTAATTGAAATTAAAATTCAAGTAAAATATTTACAAACAATCCTTAAATATATTGCTTTTAAAGAAATAATGAATTGGGTACACTTTCCATACTAATTAAAACAAAAACAAAATATTTACACAGAAAAAAAATATTGATCAAGGTCAAGAAATAGTTGTCCCCTCTAAAATCTGCATGCTCGTTGATTTTTTTTGTTGTTGACAAAATAGCTTATTGCAATTCCTTGCAATGCTGCTTCTTTTTCCTCTCAAACGGCCTTCTTTAACGCTTACACAGTAAAACTCGATTTAAACGAAGTCACCGTTCTTTGTCGATCATATCCGTAGAAGGGATTATTCTTAAAATTAATATAATTGGGGATCAAAGAAAGATTAGCAATACCTATGAAATAGCAAATATCCGTGTTTGTATTAAACGAGTTTTGCTGTATTTGGATTTGCTTCGTTTTGTACATGTTTACATTGACATTCAATTTTTTTTCTAAAAAGTTAATGAATTCAAAAATACTACCAATTCCTGAAAATAATTTGTTAATGTAGCTCTTTTATGCAAAAAGTAAGAAAATTTATTTGTTGTACGTATCATTAATTTCGAATGGCATATGGCATCGAATCAGTTCCTTCCTAAACTTAGAATAAGATTATATGATTAAATGATGTTTTCTACGCCCCTGTCAAGAATATTTCACTCATTTAGGGGGGTTACCATAAAATTATACCGGTGAAGGGTTTGAAATTTACAGATTCACTCAGAAGACGTAGAGCTTCTTTTTATCGAGAACGTTTCCTATATTATTATTCCACTAAATAAATCTTAGTCATTAGAATCTGAACTAAGGCGAACATTTTCAAGTGTGCATTTTAAGTTTAAAATTTTAGATGTAAGCGGCTACATATATGTTTAACAGCACATATATTAATAGAAGTTTAAAGCTTTACGTTATGAAAGACACAATAATATTCTTTCGCCCCATTTCCAAGGAAAAGAAACACTAGCAACTATAAATTAAGTGACAATACACTCAAATATTGTTATGAAAGTCCTATAAAATACTAAAGTGTTAATTACCATTGCATTAATCCAATTCAAAGGATAACGTGTAACAAACAGATAGCACTTGTTTGAAAATCGCATCCATTGACTTGTGCAACCTGCAGAGGTGAACCAGAACTCAACAAAACAGACAGCAAAGAAATTTTGGAAAAGTAATAATTAGAATGATTAAGGCAGACAGAAAAGTTATAATTAAAATAATAAATACAGACATAATGATAAAAAAGCCAATTATAAACTTTAAGTAAATCTGCGATTATAAGAACAAGGTACAGTTTCAATACAAATTAAGCCCTGCATTTTTCTTAAATATGAAAAAGATATAAGAAATTTAAATACATGTTTTTGAAATCATGGGAATCCCATTCAGTAAAAATGCACATATCGTTAAGTACGTTGTTCTCATATTACCTCCTAAATGCTTATTGTGAAGTCATAAACTTGTGCATTTTCCCGGTTTTTTTCTTAAAAAGTTGCGGAAGACATCAATTTTCAGTGATATTTTCTTTCAGAAAACACACTCTGCCACCGTCGCCCACAAAGATTTTGAGATATGTGATTTTTCAAAGCAGTTTACATATCCAAAAATTGAAGCAGGTGACGGTGGCAGTAACTATTTAGCCCAGAAATGAGTCATTCTGAGGCTTTTCTGCATTTAACTAGCAATGTACCAAATTAATGACTTCATATTTCCTTAACGGTCCTCCTTTATGCCATATTCTTTGTTGATTTATCATTCTCATCTACTCAACTATTGTTAAAGCAAATTTCATAACTTTTTAGTTATAATTTTTAGGGCACAATAAAGTTCAAACTGTACTTTCTTTGTCAAAAATGAAGGATATAATGCCTAACTTAAACCTAATTAACTATCTTTGAAAAGAATTGGATTTTTTTTTATCAAACGTTAAACAAAGTTATGGATTTTCCTTCTTTATCAAATGCCCTTTTGATTTCACAAAATACTTTGCACTAGGAAAGAAATAGCAATGGTATACACATTTAAGCACAGTGAAACATCAGAAAATATTTTTCAAGACGAAACAAAAGAAATACTTATAGATAATGTAAAGTAAGGAACATAACAAAAAAGTGTTGTAATTTGATTAAAAAAAACTAAATTAAACATCAAACAATAAGGCTGTACATGATAAATCTTGAACATCAAAACAATAAATTATCAAGCAAATTTGACAAATTTGTAATAAAAGTACGATCTTACCTTTACCAACAAAAAGCATTAAGAATAAAAATCTCATAATGATACAGCCCTGAATATAAACCATTGAACTCTGTAGAGTGACGTGTTTCAGATTTTATACATACTATCAATTAAAAAAACTTTCCAGATGTGTATAAATTATGAAATGAGATACCATTTTTATAGTTTCATAGGGATATGGCATGAATCTGATCACGCTATAAAATCCTAAAAGGCCGATGGACGTTATAAGTTGTGCCACATTTAATTTTGACACGAGATAGTCCAGAATTTTTACCACCATATGTAATTGTTAAATCAAAAAGTTGTTTTTTTACAGCATCACATGATGTCATGTTGAACTCACAAACACGTCTGTCTTTAAACATATGTAGAATCTCATGGGAGAATGGTCTGATTTTCAGTCCCATCAGATATCCCAAGGAAGTAAAAGTGTCAGATGGGATATTTTTCTCCAAGTGGGGTATTTCTCCCACAAATTTGTTCTAATGGGATAAATCCCAAGGATATTGACAATCACACATTTTCCCCCTTTTATCAGGGGATATATCCCTTAGATTATGAGAATGATATCCCACTCATGTCAAATCATATCAAAGAAGGAACTACATGTATGTAGCATTTATAAGCACATTTAAAAGAAGAAATACATTAAATGAGACACACTTTATTTATATAAATAAAACATTTAAATAAAACATCTCTTTTGGATTGAACCTTTGATTGCTTATTTGTTTAGGATAAGAACAACTACGGATTTGTGGAAACACTTATAAGGAGAGTATGATGACTGTTAAGTTAACCCAGGTTTCTGTTGAGTTTGCAAAAACAGTCAAACCTCGTTATCTCATGTCCAATGAGACCATGACAAATTTTTGATATATATATACAATTATTCGAGATGTATATATTATTGAAATTAAAATATAAAAAGTAATTGTAGTGGACTTAAAACACACTAAAACACAAACATTGTAATTTTAAATCTTGAATATATAGAGATAATGAGGCTCAACTTTAATTGTAAGTAGAAAAGTATTTAATGATATACAGCTTGCTCTTACTGTTAAGGTACTTATTGCACACCAGGCATAATTAGAGATATCATTTAAATTGTTGCACAATAGTAGACATAACTTTTTTCTATACAGGTCAAAGTGTACCGGTACTACATATATGATTGGCATACTACGGTTTTAAGTCTTCCTAAATTAGTACATTGTACTTACTACATTAGTCCTGATTGCTAGAGACAAACTCAGCCGTATGTAAGTATTTCATAGAAACAGTTTATGGTGTTTATTCCGCAGATTACATTTATTAATGTAACGAAGGAACTGTCCCTCCTGATCTAGGATGTGGATATAATAGCTGTTCAAATCTATTGTCAAGATCTGACTCTGGCTGTCTGTTGCAATGCCATGTGGATCAAATGTTCCCTTGGTAGTAGAGGGATGACCAGTGTATCTAAATCGGAGTATTCCTGCCTAACTAACCACTACCACTGCACTAGCTCCGCAGTCAGCCACACATATATCAAAGTTTGTGTTCTCACTGATGTATTTAAATATAGAAGATGAATACAGAGGTCTACTTTCACTATCAAACTGAATTGTTTGTTTTTGTATGAAGCCTGAGTAACGGACAACTTTTGATTGTTTATTATCATCACTTTCCATTGTAACCAGGAGGTCGCCCGAGAAGGTACTACAGACATAGTAAGGTTTCCACCCCTGTAGTGTGATCACTTCCTGTATCTGTTTATTCTTCACTATGTTTACAGTTCCCATACTAGGGTCAGTACAAACTAGATCTCCACTCCTTGTTACTGCTATGTCATGTGGTATGTTACCAGACTTTGTTTGGATTGACTTCAGTGGTTTGCCTTGTAAGTTGTAGAGTTTTATAATTTTGTCATGTCCACGTGTCCAGATTTCTTCATCACTGAGACAGGTAATACTGTATAGAACGTCATACTCAGTGTTAATGGTGGTGATGAGCTCTGGTTCATTAAGCATTGGTTTGACTGGAGGACAGGATATAGCTTCTTGTGTCTTCAGTGTGTAGCCATGTTTGTTTGTTGTGATGGACAATGCTGACAGAGAACCAAACATTCGATGGATCTGTTCTCTGTTGATTTGTTGAGGAGAGAAATTTGGTAATAAAACATTAATTTTAGGAGGTAAACTTCTGAATTCAGCATTCATGGATTTGTATGCAGAGGTAAGGGAGCATCATTGGAGTCCAATATTTTCTTCAGATCATGTATGCTGTGTTTTACTTCTGAAGTAATCTGTTTGATTTCGTTTTCCTGTTTAAGAGCAGCCAGGTGTTTTGTTTTCTTCTCATCAATTTCAAATTTTTGTTTGTTGACAATGATGTTAATTTCTCTGTGCCAGTCTTCTCCTTGTTTGGTGACAGCTGTAGTCAGTTTCTCATAGTGTTTTTCCAATTTTTCTTTTTTAGATTTTATATCTGATGCAATTTCTTCATATGTAGGTTGTATTCGTCTTTCTAGTTCTTTCAAATCCTTGTATAGAATTTCTTTAATGAAGCTTGGTTTTTGTAAGATATCTGTTAATTTATGTCCATGATGTTCATTAGAAGAGATGCAGATAGAACAGACAGGAATGTCACATTTTTCACAATAAAGTTCACAACCTTTCTGGGTGTGGCTTGGACAGTATGGGTAGTTAACGTTAGGGGAAGACGTTCTGTGTTTGTAAGGTACAACATTGTGTCTGATGGAAGAATCAGAGAGATGTTCCCCTACACAAGCCTTACATAGGTTAATCAGACAAAGTTCACAATGACTCTGTAAGGCAGCTTTTTGACACAGGTCACAAGGTAGGAGTACTGTAGCTCTGTCCAGGGGGTCCATCACTTGTGTTTTGGTAAAAGGAGCAGACGACCCTGTTTGAAGTAAAATGGAGACTTAGGTCAGAAAGCTAGAGGAATTTTATGCAAATCTAAACAATAACAATATGAAGGTTTTTTTCTTTAATTGTAAGACAAAGTCGGTTTAAGAACAACATGAAAGATATATTTTTAGTCTAAAAATATAGTGTAAGCTTTCTTTAAGTTTGAAAAAAAAATTATTTGAGGAAAAAGTTTACACTTCATAAAATTGAAAACAATTGATGTAGTCAGTATTATGTAAAGTGTCTCTCTCTCTCTCTCTCTCATGCATTTCAGCTAAATAAATGTATTATTAATGACATCATCTGAAAAGATCTTAGAGTATATCTTAATCTAAATATTTATATTGTCTCACCTCAAAATCGATCATGGCTACCCTAATAATCCTGCATATTACAATTCACTTCCTTATCTTCATTCTTATTTTACCTGTTATCAGGTTATAAATGTATGATTTAAATCATTGTACTTGAAATATCACAGACGGTAGTAAAGAAATAAAAAAAAAATACCTACAGGAATTTATTGTCCTTATTTGATTTTTTAACTCATGCAAATAAAATTAAGAATCTAACTTTCTATCTCTCAAGCTATGTGCCCATAATTTTTTGTCTGAAAAAAATTTTTGAAATATTTTTTTTTATTTTGTGGAATGAAACATATGCAGATAACAAACAGTATTCAAGATCAAATGTCAATAAAACAAGAAAAAAGTAGCAGAGCAAACACGGACCTCCGAAACATCATAGGAGTGATCAGTGGCCATGGAGATATGAGCATCCCCTGCCGACGGGTCACACTCGCCATGTGCCCCTTGACATGATCGGAAAAACGAAAAAAAAACCGTCGTCAATTCAGTGTATAAATAATGGACTAACAATTGTTATGAAAATAGAAATACTGCGTATGTATAATTGTTAACTCTACTCCTCAGAGACCAGAAAAGCTTATGCGATTGATTGTTCTCTGTCTGTCCGGTTTTTTTTTTTCAAAACAATATTCCTCCTACAGTTTTGATTTAATTTCAATATTACTTGACACACAAGTAAACTACAATAAGATACTTAATTCTATTCATCGTTTTTTTTTTATTTTTGAATGGTGTTGCCGTGGTAAATAAAGACATTTCTGTGAAATACTTTCAACATAATATTCTCCTACAATTTGTTTCTGATTTCAATCTAACTTAAGAAACAAATAGACTACACTTAGATACTTAATTTTTGAAATCGGTTATTATTTTGATGACCAGTGTTGCTGTTGCAAGTACAAAAGAAATTTCTGTGAAATACTTTCAAATAATAGCACACTTTATTATCTACTAATATTTAGAATACGATCAACGTCAGATCTATGTTGCATTGACAAACTACATAAATATCTATATATATATATATATATATATATACATTGTAAACTACCATTCTAGATCAGCAACTTGAGGTCTTACGCAAGGAAATAGCCAATCAAAATGAACTTAGTCAAATGAAGTTCCATATACATAGAGAAAATTTCTTTTTCTTTTTCATTTTTGGCAACTTTTTTAGGTCTACAATGTTCATTTTGGACTCATGTACTAGGGATATCATATCTTTAGCAGAATTGTGCCACTTAATTAAAGGGAACTCTTTTTTAGGTGCGCGTGATGTAACTTCCTGGATGATGCGTAGGCTGTTTGTCAACATCTGAAACCCTCGTGTATTTCGGGGTAGGTTTGTTTACTCTCAATTTTCCTTCTTAAAAGCCGCATAAGGGGTATTTTTCTGATCTCAAATTTTTGTCTAAGCATTAATCTTTATTTTCTATTTCATGAATTATCTGCTGAGAGTCTAGTTAATTAATTAATTTAATTAAAGCTATATAGTAACATATAGTGAAATTATTTCCTTGTGTGAGACCTAAATTGAGCATTTTGAGAATCCCATTTGCGTTCTATTTAAGGAACAGTTATTATTCAGGTAAAAAAATATTTATTTCAAGAATACACCATTGTCAGTGATCGGAATTTCTAGGAGATGTTTAATTTTTTTTCACGATTGTGTAGAATGGGTCTGCAAGGCAGACCAAACTTATGGAAAATGTTGATGACATGTAGCATTTTATGTACCAGTGAATATGTCTGTTTAAACAACTTTTACATAATGATTATCCTGGTCCAAAGCAGGAACATGTTAGAACAATGATGGTTACAAACCTACACAGGATACAATCTACAAAAGCGGTGCATGCATGGCTGAGATGGACATGACTGGACTTCAATAATATAATAATAAGTTTTTAATTCAATTTTTTCAACTATATACAAATCATCATTAATAACATTTGTTCATCATAACTCATTCAAAAAAAATGCAAACAGCATTAATTAAATATAAATGTCAAATAATTTAAATATGACTGTAATCAATTATAATTATTAAAATTATTGTTTCATTTTTAGACCTTTTCACTTTTTTATTACATTATTCAAAAAGGTTAGTCGTTCATCTTAAAGCACTACCAACTTACATCATAATTATGCATGGTGTAAAATTGTATATGAGAATTATACTTCCTTAAATTAATGAAGGTTATTTTTGAATTAAAAAGACAATTCAGTTATTCGAGATCAGAAATCAGTGCTGTTTACTTACATAAAGAAAATGAGTGGATTGAGTGATTGTTGTTAAACGTCCCTCTTGAAAATTTTTCACTCATATGGAGACGCCACTACTTGCTGTTGGAGGAAAATTAATGGAAAAAATTGACTCGATTTAGTTATTCTTGGTTTGATATAATGTGAAGAAAGTTGAATCTATTGTGTAATTAACTGTAAATACAACTATAACCATTTCTCTATTTTACTTCTAAGGGCAGAATACTTAAACTGCATGTGCCCTTTAACATGTTTAAATAGAACTTTTTAGTGTTCAGTATTTAGAGCTTCCTAAAGTAGCCCAAGCTGTGACCCAGCTCAACTAAATTTATAAAAAAAAAAAAAATACCCCAACCTTTCTATCATGACCTTATTTCGAGAATTAAGAATATTGTGTAGGCTATTGAAAGAGATTCTCTTGGTGAAGTCAGGTTAATCAAAATATCGATGTTATAGATACTCACTTTAACTAGTTACCTTTAAACCTTGGTACATGACCCTGAATCAAATATCTAAAGCAATAACATGCAATA